TAGTCATGAATAATTATTTCTTGTGAAGTGCCAAAACGGAATACGAGCCGGTATTCAATTTAGAGTCAAGATTCTTCTAATCAATTAAGAAAATCATAATAAATTTATGAATAAATAGTATGATCCAGGTTGGACTTCTCATTAACGATTCACGAAACATCTATTACTAATGAATAATCCTTCTTCATTGGCGATTAACAAGCACGTGAAAAGATTCAACTTTCCCAACTTTTTCTACATCCGAATGGTGTAATTAATGATGCTTGTGTAAAATTTCTCTCACCATTAACAGTGAACCTAATCTATGTTCTTAGTTATAAAGTTCTAACCTAAAAAATTAAGCTAATAGGTGGGGGAGATTACATATAAAACTTAAGCATATAAATTATATAGTCAAGTGATATGAGATTTTGCAACATTTATCTCATGTGTAAGCTAGATTAGGAACGCACGTGGAATTTGATTAACGGAGAGGATGCAAAAGCGAAATGAAGTAGAGCATAATTGGCTCTAATACCATGTTAGAAAGTTCAACTAAAAGTTTCAGTTATTAGGTGAAGGGAAATCACATATATATAAAGAGTATATAAATTTCATTATCAAGTTATGTAAGATATTTCAACATTTCTTTTTAAATGATTGACTCAAAAAAGCATCCAATCAAATTTTTAATTTACTAAATGATATCTCTTTTAAGAAGCATTGGACTAACCCCAAGTAAGCCGTGCCGGAGGTTTGGGGTTTGTTTTTTAAGGGCAGTTCAGGAATAAAAATAAAAAATATATAAATAAGTGAGGGTGTTAGGATGCAAACTGATACAGAAATGACAAAATTTAGATGAAAATTTCACGTTTCAAAAGTGGAGATGGTATCTAATATATGAAAATGAAATTTGATATTTGCTTTTAATTTTCTCTTTATCATTTGAAAGCCGGAGATATCCCTCCATACATGATTCCGATCTTTGCTTTTCCATCATTCATAAGTATCTTTGAAGACACGAAACCATCCAATTCAATGATTGATTAACTAACTTGCTTACCTAAATTGGCATTAAACAGAATTGACCACTGAAGAATTGAATAATAGATATAAATAAAACATATTTATTTTTTATTCGGCTTTAACCCATTTCATAGAAACAAACTTATATTTCTTTATCAAGAAAAATGGTCGAGGAGGTAAAAGCTAGGACGTGGACAGATTTTAGCACTGAATATATGTTTTTTATGTGACATCCGCCCTTAGTTGGCCCATAAAAAGTAATAATTTTTTTTAATTTATTTAAAGCAAATCCCCCAAAATGACTATGAAAGAGGGAAGATAATAAAATATTTGAACTTATCACACTCTCCATCAAGATCTTGAAGCGGGGCCCTAGAAAATATTAGCATCATGAACTAGAAAAAAAAAGGTAAGAAAGAAAATCCATGTCGTGTACATTTTGTGATGCTTAAACTTCGTTCATTTTTTCCAGCATAAAATAAGGCAATAAAAGTTTTATTCTCCAAATTTATCACAATATGCTAGTGATCCAATCTCACTTGATATTCTCCTATCGAAATAAGAAAAATGCATCTTAGTTTGAATTTAAACTGTCGTCTCGATTTTAAGAGTTTGATCATAGTCATTCGTGCATAACCGTTTCAAGCTAAGTTAGGCTAGCATAATTTGAATTTGGCCCATATACTCTATTCTAAATCCTCCCCAGAGAAAGAAAGTAATAGCAAAGGCGACCCCAATTGCTAAGGATAGGTTTGGGATATACTACGTGTTCACAAGATAGAGTTAGCAATTGACTAAATGTCCAATTATTCAACTCACAAAATAAATTGCACTTAAGGAGAGCGTCTTATCAAGATGTTATTTCACAAAATCTTGTTTTCAGTTGTCCAGAAAAGTAAAACATCAGATCATGCCGTTAGATTTTTAGTAAAATAACGTCAAAAAGTATTGCACAAGAGATAGTATAAGAGATTGGGTAGTTATGATCCTCAAGTTAAAGATGAGTAAAGCCACTTGGGTAAAGAAGAAATTAACATTGGCGGCACTTTATTTTTCGTCAATCCATTGGTGTGTTTTCTCTTTCTTTCCTCGATTATAGAGAAGCTGACTTTTTGTACGTATCCAACTACAATTATATGCCCATAACATCCTTTTTTTATTTTTTCATAAGTGCACCCTAAAATTTGTCATGCAAGTACAATTAAGTCCTAAAACTTGTAAAAAGTGTAATCAAGGCATAAAACTTGTCATATTAATTCAATCGATCTTTCCGTTAACTCCGTCCAACTTGACTAAAATTATTGTTTTAATAATATTTTCTCTCTCCTACATGACGATGACGTGGCTAAATCATTAAACATAAGGCTAAAATGATGTCATTTTGGGCCAAATTTGATTTTTAATATAAATTTATTTGAATTCATTTTAAAAAATAATGTAAATTTAAAAAGTGGGGGGAGGGGGAGGGGGAGGGGGGGAGAGACAGGCGATGGGGACTGCAGCCCTCGCCGACGCCACCCCACTCTCGCCGACCGCAGGCGAGGGCGTTTGACCCCTGGCCGAGTCCCAGCGACCCTAGCCGGTCATTCCCCTCCCTCGCCAGCCAGAGAAGGAGGGGCGGCGGCAGCCCTCACCACCTGTCTCCCTCCCCTTTTCTTTTCTTTTTTTAAATTTAGCTTATTTTTTACATTTAATTTAAATAAAATTTATATTAAAAATCATATTTAAGCCAAAACAATGTCATTTTACCGCGTCATCACCACGTAGAATAGAGAAAATAATTAAAAAAAAATCACGTCAATATTTTCTGTTAATCAAGTTGGATGGAGTTAACGTAAGGACTCAATTGTACTAATTTGATAAGTTTTAGGACTTAAATTGCACTTTTTATTAGTTTTAGGACTCAATCGCACTTTCGTGACAAGTTTTAGAGTTTCCATAACACAAATGCTTTTTTTTTTATGTTAGGAAAAGAAAAGGATTCGAAAATAAATTAATGTTCATTAGGTACATCGATAGTGAAAAGGAATATACAAAAATGACAGTCCATCGATTATACATGTGCTTACTATCTATTGATTCTTTGCACATAGAAATGATGGGATAATTACCAAAAAAAGTCATAAACCTATTGTATGGATGCCAATTTAGTCATAAACATTTTAATTTGGCCAACTTCGTCCTCAACTTTTTGATAATTTGTTAATGTAGTCTTTTAGGCCAATTTGACCGGAAATCGCTAATATGGGAGCATTGACCATCTTATGCGGCACAATGGTGCTAACATGACAACTTTCACAATTTTTTAAAAAAAAATTCTGATTTTTTCTATTTGCCTTTTCTTTTTCTAAAAAATTTAAAAACACAAAAATTGTCCACATTAGCGCATATCTTGCCACGTAAGAAGGCCGACGTCCACATTAGTGATTTTCGGCCAAAATTGGCCAAAAGGACTACATTAGCAAATTGCCAAAAAGTTTAGGACTAAATTGGCCAGATTAAAGATTTATGACTGAATTGGCATCCGTACAATAGGTTTAGGATTTTTTTGGTAGTTTTATCTAGAAATGGTCTAATCTTTTTATAGCGGGCGGTTGTTTTTGAGATTTGTGAAGGGTGATTGATTATGAATATAATTTCTGTTCTCCCAAAAAAGAAAAGGACTTTTTTCAGAGGGAATGGTTCATAAAAAGGATAAATTGGGGAGAGATACTGAACCTGGTCTGAATTGTGGGTCTAGTGAATTGGGTTGATGGGAGAATCTAGGGGTGAGTGGATGAAAATTCCCCTTCGCTCTTCTTCTAAAATATCCCAAGCTCTATCCCTCCACATCCTATTCAATCTTTTTCGTGAGATGCTTTCTCGTTCTCTCATGAGCACCCGGTGCATGCAGGCTATAATATCTTAGGGTTTACTACATGAGAGTTCGATTGTAAATTGTACTGTGTGGTCTATAGTTCTTGACATCATTACAAGTGTTTGTTAGGCTTGCTGTCCAAGGCTTCTTGATGGTTATAACTATTAGGCATGATAAATTGAAATGGTATGAGATCGATGTTCTTTCGCTCGCCTATTCACCATGCACATGGAAGTCTAACCCTCTATTACCTTTGTCATATACAAAGGCTTGAATAGGATTCACGAGAAATATATATAGATCTTTTCCTCAATTTATGCATCAAGCTTTCGAATCGGATAATCAAACAGATTACCGCACGAGAAAACTCAGTTTTCTCATACAAAATGGCACATAAGTACAAGGATTAATTAGAACCTAGTAAGAGGTTTGATTCGTATCTACGAGGAAACTATTGAAAACGAAAGGACCAGAGAGAAACGTACCAAAGCAAAAAGGTGTGGCATGAATGGTCAATTAAATCTCGTGCTGATATGTTCTCTTCTTCAAAACCTCCCACTTAGCCTACAGTTGCGTCCATGTTCACTTGCCCTCGTGCGACTTTCTTTTTTCTCTATAAAAAGTAACGCGAGATATTCGAAGTCCGGTCTCCACCATCGATGTATGATAGACTGTAAATGAGCATTTAAAAAAATGTGTCATATTCTTCAACAATCAACAAAACTTTGTTGTATCACTGGCCCATACATCAATATTACAACCATTTTTTTCTAAAATAGTGTTAGATGCACTGAAGCGGTCTTCGCGATCGGTACATGACAGATTATAAGTAAGCAAAGTAAGCAATCAACAAAATTTGCCGCATCACTTGTACACCAATTTCGTAGGCCCATCATAGTATATCTAGCATTTATAATTGTCATAACAACAACAACAACAATAATATGTTATTATAATCATTACTATTGTTATTTTTATTAGTAGCAGAAGAAGAAAAGTTTCGTCGTCATTTTCACTCTACTTGCACATTGATACAAGAAGCAGACAAGGCATTCATGTAAAGGGGAAAGAAAGAATGAAGGAGAGTCCATTATAAATAGTAGGGCAAGAAACACTAAGATGAGCAAGCAACAGATGATTGAAAGACCAAAAACAGTGAAAAAAAAGAGGTCAGGTTGCCTCTAGAGTTCCCCCGAACACTTCACTGGGAACTTGCTGAGAGTTTCTCTCATCGGCTTATTCATAAATTTCCTACTGAAGTGTTTGGGGGAACTCCTGATGTTGCTTGACAATAAACTTCGCCTCGGTCAATGCTAACGAGTCATGGCAAAGCTAATACAAGGGAGGTAACCGTTGATTCATAGATCGCTATTATGTGATTGCAATTTTTGAATATGTTCCTGGTGTGTGACATCTGATTGTTCACATTACCTTTATAGGGTTTATGAAGGGCTTGTGTCTGGTTGGTAAGGTGCTCTGGAAATGTATAACATACTCTATTGCGAGAAGTGTTTAATCAGCTCATCTTAATTCATTGATACCCTCAGAAGCACTAGCCCTCGATCAATTGGTTGGAGCAGGAACGATCTAATTCCCATCTGGTTTACATGGTGATACTTGAATGCCCATGCAGCAAAATCATCTCCTTCACTGGAGCCGTAAATCCTAAATTTATTATCATTTTAACGTCGTTTCGCCATTTCCACGCTTTTTTCAAATTACAAGCATCATAGCTTACTGAACTTGTCAAGCTAGTCTAGCCTTACCTATCGAATGGAAGTCGTTGGGTAGTCCTTGAAAATAATTCACCGAAGCTAGAGAAATACGGACTCTGAATATTTGGTTTTACTCTATCTGTTTAAGTTGATTCAGCGGAACCCTAGCTGGCAAAGGCAAGAACCATCAAATAGGAGTTCATCATTACGATTTAAGAAAGTTCGTTTGCTGATAAGCAATCATCTTTATTCTCTTTCGACTGTCGCGGGGTGATCTTCACCAACTAAAATTAGAGAAATGGTGGTACTGCACTGGAAATTGCTCGCCGGAGGCAGTGGACGAATTCCAGTTATGTCTGTTCAAATTAAGGCTAAAGGAGAATCCACAGCTTCAGATCACTTGCTAATCTAAGATACTGTTCTATCTATTCATTTGCTCAATTTTCTTAATTTATTTTCGTGAGAGAAAGGTCAACCGACATTTATAATATGTTCACTTCTCTTTGTTTTCGTCATTCTAACAGGCTTGTTTCGTAGACTTCAACGGAGCTGCAAATTGATCATTGTTGGGATATGCTAATTGAAGATTGAATGAAGTCTTGGTTCGAACATTAAAATCTTATTCAGATGTAACTTAGGTATAAGCAATTTAATCATTCACATACGCTACTTTGTACGCTCGAGCAGCGGAATTATGTCCTCCATAAATTAATTTCATTGATTCTCCTCATCTTCTGGCACACTATTATTTTAGAGTACGTATGTACAGACATTGACTCTAATTTGCCTAAAGTTTAGTCGTATATCTCGTTACATGACTTCTAAAAATGAGAGTAGAAGAAGATATTTGAAAAATTAAACTAATGAGAGGAAAGGCTCGTACCAGAAATTTTTACCGCACCCGTTTGGAATCGGAGTCCAGTTAATGAAGGGGAAGAAGCAAAACTCGAACTTTCATTTCTTATTTATAGAAGTTAACATAATTGGCAAACCCTTATGTGGATATAATTATGTATGAATTAGAGGATCCCATCAATTACAAGATGCTTCATTCGCTACGCTCATGTGACCTTGAATTGTCGTGTCTTCTAGGGCTTAAACTAGAAACGGAACCAAGAAAAATTAAAAGGGTAGTAAATGGAAGTTTAATTTAGATATAAATACCATGCTAATTACTATTAGCCTAGACTAATCGAATGAAACTAAACAAATTTCTTATCAGCATATGGTTAAGAGTAAATTATTTCGCCTCCTAAAAAGTAGTAGATAATTTTTTCTTGTGGAGTTTGAAGAAGGACAGGCCTATTGTTGAATATTTATGTGGAACGATAGCTTTTCGATGATTGGTCGATATTTCAATTGCAAGTACACATGTTGGTCTCCTTACGCGCTACTCGTCGAAGCTGTTTTTATTTTATATTAAAGTTGATGGAATAATAGAAACACATCTGCGAAGGACTCTTAACAGAACCAGACTTTGGGGAATCAATCGGACGACAAATCAATCTCCTAGTTTGTAACTCTCAATTCCCTCAACATTGTGTCGTTCTTGTCGTACTTTTTCTAAATATGGTAAACAAGCAACACAAGAAAGTAGCCATCTGTTGCCACGTACCCAGAAAAGAAGTGTAGCTGATCATTTTGATACACATCTCATTAAAATTCTTGGAATCTTGGAGGAAATTCCCGCATCGTGGCCTCGAATGATTCCGAACATATCATAAAATTAATTCGATCAATTCCTTCTTCCACAAGATTCCTGGATTCATTTGAACCTTTGGTTTGGCCGCCCAAAACACACATAACTCAAATGTCTTTGTGCGCTCTACTAAGTTCCACATAGTCTGTTTCACCGAGTCATCTGTCACCAAAGCTCTGTATATCAATCTTCCCAATGTCTGTTCATTCACAAGATCTTTAGTTCATCCGAGTCCCACGTTTTGGCTTTTGATCCACGAGTGTAATCAGCAACAGGAGATTTTCATGGGGGATTGTTTCAGCAAAACCTCGAATCGAGACCCAAACCAAACTATAAACATCACTCAGCCTCCCGCTGGTTTGCCGTCATTCTTCTTCTATTTTATCTTAAAAGCAAATTTCCATTCCAAAGTTGAAATTTATTAGCTGAAATTCATCTCATATTGATTTGCTTTCGTACTTTCTTACGTTAAATCAGAGTGCACACCGCTAACTTCATGTCCAGATGAAAAACCTGAATAAAAAAAAAGGGGAACTTCATCAGTTTCATCAAAACCTCAAGAGGGTCTTTTTTTTGTAAAGTCGATTTCCAATATATTTACTGGATCTCTTCTTTATCTATTCATGAACATTGAAGTTGCAATTTAATCATCTTGGTGTAGGAAAGAGCAAAGAGAATGAACGACATGGTTTGCCACGCCAAGATCACAGAAAGCCATCCATTTCTTCTCATTGGTCCCTCAAAGGCAAGTTGATATCTTTTCTTGATGACAGTTTCATTACTTGCTAATTGTTTGCATGCCTCATTAATCTTCGTTTCACTCATGCATTCAAGAGCTTGTAAAAGAGTACTAAACACCTTTCTCATGAAATGAAATGCACACATGCCATTGGTGACTGGCCGGCTTTGGCAATTCCAGTTTTATCTCACCTAGAACTTGATTTGCATTTCATATTTCGAAACAGAAAAAGATGGAAATTGGAGTGCCTATTCACGAGGCCGGCAACGAGACGATGACTGCCCGATGAACAAGAAGGACGAGCTGTTCCATCCATATAGGCTTCACTGCTTTTGCTATGATGTGTTGAAGGATGCCACCAACAAGTTCAGTGGCACCAACTTCATCGGCGAAGGTGGTTTCGGAGATGTCTACAAGGGCTGGGTCAGCTATCGCACCATGAACGCAGCTAAACCGCACAACGGTCAGGCAATCGCTGTCAAGAGGCTCCAGGACAAGGGACCACAAGGTCAAGATGAATGGCTGGTAAGATTGATGCTCTCTCTCTCTCTCTCTCTCTCTCTCTCTCTCTCTCTCTCTCTCTCTCTCTATATATATATATACAGAATTTGTATAACAACTATGAATATTCTAAAAGCTTAAATTGTTAGATAAAAATATTATTTCGTACTATTTAAATGCTTCGACACACACACACTCTCTTATTCTAATCAGCTCATTGTTGTGCTGGAAGAATGAACTGAGGTTCTTGAGCAAATTGAACCACCCAAATATCGTGAAGCTCATAGGGTATTGCGGCAACAACGAGCACCGAATTGTGGTATACGAGTTTATGGCTAAGGGGAGCTTAGAAGATCAGTTATTAAGAGGTAAGGATCAAGCAATGAGGACTCTATTAATGAGAGGAAGGTGAATGAAATTTCATAAGGCCAGTATGTATTTGCAATTTTGCGCATGATTTCAAACCTAAAGAATCCAATTTGACTACACGCTTTACTGGAATAACAGAAAAACGCAAGGACCTAAGTTGGAGAACAAGAATCAAAATCGCGATTGGGGCTGCTAGAGGTTTGGATCATCTTCATACACAATCCAAGCCAGTCATTCATCGTGATGTTAAAACCTCTAACGTTTTGCTTACCTCTGTATGTTTCTCTTTTCTCTATATTTATGGTACAATTGCAGCTCATAAGAAAAAAGAAAAAAAAAACACCATACGATGGCATAGATTACAGGTTTACAACACCTAAAACGATAAAAGTGCAGAGAGATGATAGTTTGGTAGAGTGTTGTTTACATTGTAGGAATGAATGAGCACACATCGCTGTGAATGAATGAGCACACATCGTACTCTACAACTGTGAATGAATGAGCACTATTGTTGTCCATGCGTACTCTACAACTGTGAATGAATGAGCACTATTGTTGTCCATGCGTACTCTACTACTGTGAATGAATGAGAATACACTGTCATATCTGAGAACTATTATTGCCCATGCGTACTCTACAACTGTGAATGAATGAGCACACATCGCTGAACGAATACACTTGGTAATATTATTCAACTCGCTCACATAGTCATTGTCAGTCATCCTCTATGATATTGCAGCACTTCGACGCCAAGATATCGGACTTTGGCCTTGCCAAATATGGACCTCAAGGCGATCAGTCCCATGTCTCATCCAGAGTTCTGGGCACGAGAGGATACTTTGCGCCTGAATATATTGCCACGGGTATTCTCCCGATTGATTTCTTTATTTTTGTAATAACGTTGGGTTCTTATACTTGTAAGTAATATCGGTTATATTTCTTATATGGTCAAGCTATTCAAGCTTTAAGAAAATAGTTTGATCCATTGTCGACTCCACAATATCGCCGAGGCTCATATTCTTTTTCCGTTGTAATTGGCAGGTCATCTAACCCTGAAAACAGATGTTTACAGTTTTGGGGTTGTTCTCCTGGAGATCTTCTCGGGCTCTAGGGCGATAAGGAAACCTTCCAATGGGACAACCGGAAACCTCGCGCAATGGGCGGAGCCCTACTTGAAGGACAAAGTGAAGTTGCATCGTGTCATGGACAGAAAGCTCAAGAGGAACTTCCCCGCGCAGGAAGCCCACGAGTTTGCGGAAATCATCCTCAAGTGCCTTCATTTGGACCCAAAGAGTCGACCGACAATGGCCGAGGTTGTAGCTAGACTAGAGGAAATCCGAAGTGTGAGCAAGTTAGCAACCATAACAAGCCAAACTCCGGCATCTCTACGCAACCTAGAAGGAGCCTCTAATAGTAAGGACATGTTCAGAAAACCAAAAAAGAAGAAGAAGCAGCAGCAGCTCGGGATTGGAAGCAACGTAATGTAAATCGAGGTGACGGCTTCGTATTGATTGTTTGAGTTTAACTCAGTTGTTAAAATGTTCGTGTAAATTTTGTTGAGTTTTTGCGGCTCGATTTCTTCCCGAATCTGTTGTTACGGAGTTCGGATCGAAGCCCAAGACAGTGTAATTTACGAGAGAGAAATTGTCGCGAGAATAGCTAGAATTAAGGTTTGGTCCAGGCCACACTAATCGCTGGACATTGGTGCAGAAATGCATGAAAGCTTTTCGGGCATTATCAGGGTGTCCACCAAAGTCTCTGCCAAGGAAAATGGCAATATAACGAGTAACATGCACGTAGAAGAAGTCAGCCAATTGTAACTTTCATTTTTTTTTTTTTCAGGTGACCCGACCCGTAACCTCTAAGGAGAAGATTAAAAAAAAGCAAAATTTGCCATTATTTTCGTAATTTCTGGTTGCCGATTCTAGCGAAGGCATCGGGTATAACTTCTCGTTCTCAATTACATGTGAGCACTCATTGGTCGAGACCTCGTAAAAATTTCAATACACAAATGTCATAATGAGCGAGATTATGACTTTTTTGAGTCTAATAAACTTAGGAGGTGGATCTCAGCCAATGGATGATGTGGTCTCCCATAATATCCGATCCGCTTATGTACGTTCAAAGTATCAAATAAACTTTTTTCCGAAAATTTGTCGGACCCGCTTGGTTCATTGTAAATTTCCTCTTTAGAAAACAAAAAAATC